ATTTAGATCCATTTCTACTAAAGGGAAACAGTCAGCTCCCCCCGACAACAGTGCCTATTAAGGTGAAACTGTCCCAGCAGCTGATCCACGACTCAACAGGCCACCCACCATATGTGACTGACAACCAGTCCCTTTATCAGGGAATTGCAAAATAATATTTACTTTAAACAGTTAACACTAACAAATAAAACATTTTTAATTAACTTACATGATTGATCTTTTCATTTATGAAAACAAAAGATGAAAAGCAGAGATATGGAGAATTTGCTAATAAGGCTGGTTTGAGTTTTAAACATTAAGATGAGATTAATGGTTCCCAGAAGAAGCAGAAACTAATGACCTCTGACCTCTGACTGCAGCAGTCCACTGAATGTCAGCAGCGGGACTAAGAGCCAAACTCTCCTCAGCATCTTTCTTCTCTCCTTCTTCCCATATGTTGGAGCAGAGCAGAGCAGCTGTGGTGCTGTGGGCTGAGCCTAACGCCCAGCTGTAGTTCTGGAAGGAACCGCGTCCCTAGGAAGGCACTGACATCCTGGGAGGTAAAAACTACAACTCCCAGGAAGCAGACAGAGGGCAGCCAATGAGGACACACCACGATCAGCTCAGCTCAGCCCGGGCACAGACTAAAGCTGTAGGGGTCCGGAGAAGCCCGCTGGCTAAAGCTCGGACTAAGTTATTAGAAAGCAAAAGATAACGGTAACCATGGAGACGGTAGATGGAGCCAAACAGCGGGCAGAAAATGACAGAAGTTGGTGTTTAAAGCAAAGCTTACATGGCAGAGGCAGCTCTGCTCCGGGCTGGACCAGGAGCCGCTCCGCTCCTCCTGCTGTGTCTGCGGTCTCCCGCTGTTCTGCTGGAACCAGGCAGAGACCAGGTCCCTGAGGAAGCAGACCGACAGCAGAAGCCAGCAGGCCTGCCGGGTTCTCCTCCACATCCCGCTGCGCTGTCAACCACGGCCAGGAAAACACTTCTTCCGGTCTGCCCCCGTTAGCAGCGAGCTAACCCCGCGGCGACAGCTGCAGAGAGGAACCAGCTCTGACCGCAGCAGCAGGAACAGGACACGGCCTTCTAAGTCCAACCAAGCTTCAGTTCACCGTCGATAAAAACACAGAAATATCTGTCTTCCTTCCTCACGACGCCCATCGCTTCCTCTTCCTTCTTCTTCTTCTTCTTGTTTTTTTTTTAATTCTTCTTCTTTTCTATTATGGCGGATCGCAAGCAACTTTAAGCTGCATAGCGCCATCTACTGAGTGTGTAGCAACATTACTTTACATAAAAATCTATTTTATTTTGTATTCTGTAGATAAATAAATAATGCTTTCCTTAATCTGTCAATATCATTTATATTTCGCTCATTTCCTAACATTCCTTCCAGACTCCATTCTTTTCCTGTCCTTCCAACCATTCTTCTGTTTTCCCTTTCATGTTTATAAGTTTTACAGTTCATCAGTACGTCTTCTACATAGTCCTTTTCTCCACATCCTTCACATTTATTGTTATTTTTCCTCCCTACTAAATATAAATTGTCATTTAAATAGGCACGAGCCACTATTAATCATTATTACTTCTTCCCTTCTGCTTCTCTCATTAATGATTTTATTTAATACTGATTTTTGTACCTTATATAATCCTCTTCCTTTCTTATCTTCGTTTCACCTGTTTTGCCTTTTTCCATTTATTTACTCTTAATAAGTTTCCCTTCCCCTCTACCAAAGGAATTGTAATTGTTTTTAAACCCTCTAAAGCCCTTTTTCCTAATATATCTGCTAGGAATGGCGAGATGAGGCCTCATTGAACCGTTTTGCCTAATTGCTTCAAAGATCCCCTAAGTTCATGAGGCTTCATGTGAA